GGTGTGGGGCTGGCTGGCCTTGAGCCCCCCCAGCAGAAGAGCTGACGCTGGGAGCCACGGGATTGCTGAGCTCAGCCTGCTGCAGATTTAAGGGGGTTTATCCAGGGAGGGAGGGTGGACAGCTTAAGCCATGGGTGCTGAGCGCAGCACCCCACCACGCATCCCCCGGGGACCTTGGCCCCGTCCTTGGCCCACATTGGGTGGGCGGTGGCAGCAGTGGCAGTGGTGGCAGCGGGGCAGTCGACGGCGAGCGCAGCGGGCACAGGGAGGCGAGCACTGGAGGCAGCGGGGGGCTGGAGCTCGTTGCCCATCCTGGTGCTGACCTCCAAGGAGCGGGTGAGCCGCAGGGCCGCAGGGCCGAGGATGGGCGCCGGGGCCAGTGCCGAGGAGAAGCATTCCCGTGAGCTGGAGAAGAAGCTCAAGGAAGATGCTGAGAAGGATGCCAGGACCGTCAAGCTGCTGCTGCTGGGTATGGCAGGGGACAACACCCTGGGGGAGACACCCGTCCTTTGTGCATCTTGCCCCAACAGCCCACCCAATGTTCCTCTGACTCTTCCCTGCACCCCTCAACCCAACCTAACATTCCTCCAACCCTCCAGACACACCCCCTAAACCCAATACCCCACCCCAACAGCCCACCCAATGTTTCCCTGACTCTCCCAGCACCCCTAAAAGCAACCAGCCCACCCCAACAGCACCCCCATTCCCAGGCAGCCCTAAACCCACTCTCCCCACCTCAACAGCCCACCCAGTGTTTCCCTGATGCCTCCAGCACCCCTAAATCCAAACAGCCCACCCCAAGAATGCCCTCAACAGCCACCTGCTCCCAGGCAACCCTAAAACCAACCAACCCACCCCAACGACGCACCTGAAGTTTCTCTGACCCCCCCTAAACCAAGCCCACCCAGCCCAACAGTCCACCCAACAGGCCTCTGGTCCTAAGCACCCCTAAAGCCAAGCAGCACACCCTAACAACCCCCTAATGTTTTCCTTGCCCCCCCCCCAGCACCTCTAAACCCAATATAACAGTCCCCCATTCCAGGGCTTCCCTAAACCAGCTCATCTCAACAGCTTGCTCAACAGCCCCCTCCACCCCACCCGCACACCAGGCACCCCAAACCCAACAACCCAGCTCAACAGCCCACCCTAAAATCCCTCAGCTTCCAGGTATCCCCTAAACCCAACCTGACCACCCAACATCCCCCCACTCCCAGGCCCCCCTGGACCCCACCCACGCACCTCAAGAGCCTTCAGCAACACCACTTACCAGCATCCCACCCTGGCAGACCCCACCCCGTCCTCCTAGGCACCCCCATGCAGCCCACACCACCACTCCTGTGTTTGTCCCTGCAGCACCCCAGCACTGAGAGTCCCTCCCAGTCCCTGCCAGCTGCCCCAGTGGTGCCCAGGGAGTGGGGTGCCATAGACGTGGTGGGGCCACGGGTGCCATTGCTGCCCTCCCAGCATGGGGCACATCCCCCTGCACTGCCACAGGCTCGAAGCATCAGGTGGTGGGTGGTGGGGTTGCAATGCCACTGTGTCCCCAACCCCTCCTCTGTGTCCCCAGACACGTCGCCAGCTGAGCTGCTGCAGATCCCATTAGCCACAGTGGCTCCGTCCAACCTTAATGCCTGCTGGCACGAGGCTGTAATCCCACTGCCCTGACCCATGGACCTGGCATGGCCACCAGTGCCCCCTGACCATGCCAGGCACCAGGGGGACCAGGGGGCCCGCGCAGGCACTACCATGACCTGTGCTTTGTCCCCACAGGAGCAGGGGAGTCGGGGAAGAGCACCATTGTCAAGCAGATGAAGTAAGTGCCAAGGGGTGCTTGGCTGTGTCCCACCCCACCACATGTCTGCCCCACACCGCAGCCACAGGGTGCCCCTGTCCCATCGTGCCTGGCTCTGCCCCATGCCATAGCCATGGGGTGCACCCACCCCTTAGTGCCTTGCTCAACCCCATGGTGCCCACCTCAGCTGCATGCTGCACACATGGGTGCCACCTACCCCACGGTGCCCAGCTCAGCCCCATGCCCCCCTCCCCGGCCAGGATCATCCACCAGGATGGTTACTCACTGGAGGAATGTCTGGAGTTCATCGCCATCATCTACAGCAACACGCTCCAGTCCATGCTGGCCATTGTGCGGGCCATGACCACCCTGAACATCCAGTATGGGGACTCAGCTCGCCAGGTGAGGAGCACCCCACGACAAACACAGAGGTCCCTGCATCCCCCCAGCCCTGCTGAGCCCCTCTCCCTTGTAGGATGATGCCCGCAAGCTGCTGCACCTCTCAGACACCATCGAGGAGGGCACCATGCCCAAGGAGATGTCAGACATCATTGGGCGGCTCTGGAAGGATACGGGCATCCAAGCCTG